AAGGGAATTAGATAAGCATATGGAGCAGAGGTCCATCAGTGGCTATTAGCCACAAGGTATAGATAGGAACTCTCAGTCTGGGGCAAGGGATGCTCTGTATTCTTGGTGCTTGGGGGGCAACAGTGGGAGGGCTCCTAGTGTCCTGGCCCCACTGGTGGACCTCTTGAGGGCACCTGGTATTTCTGGCCACTGTGTGACACAAGAGTGTTGGACTGGATGGGCCTTTGGCCTGATCCAACATTGGCATCTCTTATGTTCTTATGTTCTTAAAGGGATTGAGAATAAAGTGGCCAATATGGTAATGCCCCAGTAGAGATCTGTGGTGCGGCCTCATTTGGAATACGGTGTACAGTACTGGTCCCCGTCTCTCCAAAAGGGCATTGCAGAGCTAGGAATAGTGCAGAGGAGGGCAACCCAGATGGTGAGGGGGGTTGGAGCACCTTCCCTAGGAGCCAAGCCTGGAGAGTGAGAGACTTTTCAGTTTACAAAAGAGACAACTAAGGGGGGACATGATACAGGTTTGTAAAATCATGCATGGGGTGGATGGAGAGAGTTGCAAATAGAATTCTCTCCCCCCCCAAAAAAAAAAATACTAAAACTTGAGAGCATCCGATGAAGCTGATGGGCAGTAGGTTCCGGACAGACAAGAGGCCCCTATGCCCTGTTGTCCAGAGGAACTGGTTGGCCACCGTGTGAGACGGGATGCTGGAATAGATGGACCCCTGGTCTGATCCAACAGGGCTCTTCTGAGGTTCTCATGAAGGCCTCAGCCTCTATGCCCTGTTGTCCAGAGGAACTGGTTGGCCACCGTGTGAGACGGGATGCTGGAATAGATGGACCCCTGGTCTGATCCAACAGGGCTCTTCTGAGGTTCTCATGAAGGCCTCAGCCTCTATGCCCTGTTGTCCAGAGGAACTGGTTGGCCACCGTGTGAGACGGGATGCTGGACTAGATGGACCCTCACTGGTCTGACCCAGCAGGGCTCTTCTGATGTTCTTATGAAGGCCTCGGCCTCTCTGCCCTGCTGTTGGCCCTCTAGAGGAACTGGTTGGCCACTGTGTGAGACAGGAGGCTGGACTAGATGGACCCTCACTGGTCTGATCCAACAGGGCTCTTGTGATGTTCTTATGAGAAATTCTGAATGATCCCTGTTGTTTATGCCTCATACGCCTCTTTCCTGGCAGGGGAGACACTTTGATCACTCCAGGTGTGCTGACCCCTGCAATTTCCCCAAATGCAGGAAACTTGACTGCATAATTTGTGGTAGTGGGGGACTGCGTGCGCGCTTTCCCCTAAAAAAGAGAGCCAGTTTGGTGCAGTGGTTAAATGCACGGACTCTAATCTGGGAGGACCGGGTTTGATTCCCCACTCCTCCACTTGCACCTGGCTGGATGACCTTGGGCAAGCCATAGTTCTGACAAGAGCTGTTCTCGAAAAATAGCCGTTTCTGTCAAGAGCTCTCTCAGCCCCACCTCCCTCACAGGGTGTCTGTTGTGTGGAGGGGAGGATTTTGTAAGCTGCTCTGAGACTCCCCTGGGTAGTGAAGGGCAGGGTAGAAATCCAATCTTCTTCTTCCTCCTCCTCCTCCTCCACTTGCACCTGCTGGATGACCTTGGGCAAGCCATAGTTCTGATAAGAGCTCTTCTTGAAAAAGAGCCATTACTCTCAGAGCTCTCTCAGCCCCACCTACCTCACAGGGTGTCTGTTGTGGGGAGGGGAAGGGAAAGGAGTTTCTAAGCCGCTCTGAGACACCTTTGTGAAGTGAAGGGTGGGGTATAAATCCAATCTCTTCTTCTTCTTTTTCTTCCTCCTCCTCCTCCTCCACTTACACCTGCTGGATGACCTTGGACACGCCATAGTTCTGGCACAGCTGTTCTTGAAAAAGAGCAGTTTCTGTCGGAGCTCTCTCAGCGCCACCTACCTCACAGGGTTCTGTTGTGGGGAGGGGAAGGGAAAGGAATTTGTAAGCCACTCTGAGACACCTTTGGGTAGTGAAGGGCGGGGTATAAATTCAATCTCTTCTTCTTCTTCTTCTTCTTCTTCTTCTTCTTCTTCTTCTTCTTCTTCTTCTTCTTCTTCTTCTTCTTCTTCTTCTTCTTCTTTCCTCTCTGAATGAGCTTGTCTGAATTTTGTTTAGTGAGCATTATGAAAAAAAAGAACCCCCCCCCCCCCCCCGACATCCTTTTGTCCAAATGAAAATCAAATGTTTTGGGGTGAGTTGCGGAGAAGAGCATTCTTGGCAAACCCTTGCCACCGAGGCCTGCAGGATTCCTAACAGTTCCCGCCTCACTCAAAAGCAATTTTGTTCTGGTTGAATCGGATGTTTTGTTGAAAGCCACTTGTGCGAGAAACCTCCTCCCGGTGAAGCGTGAGGCACTCCCACACACGCACCTCACACGCCGTCCCCGAGGAAAGACAACACGGCTGCCAAGGGGCCACTCCAAAGCATTCCCGAACGCTCCGATTAAAACCCCTCTGAGGCGATGGCATGTCCCTCGTGAACAAACAATGCCTTCAGCTCTCTTCGCACTGTGAAGCATCTCAAAAGGGGATCAGGTTGCTAACGTTCTAGGAGCGCAGATGGGGAGATAATTCGAGGGAGGTGAAAGTACTGTTTTCGACCCAAACATGTAAGGTTTTGAGTGTGTGGCGGGGAGAGTTCATGTTTCACGACGCAGTTCGAGGGAGGCGCATGCTGCCCACTTCCTGTTTACATTAACGGACAAAGATCCCATTATGAAAGGATTTGGACTGTGTGCAATGATACCTTTGCTGGCATCCACAGTAGCTTTCTTGCCCTTTCCATTTTCCTGTGAATTTCCCCATTTTGCAGTTTCTCGGGAGACACAAGGTATAAATAGGGGCTCTGGGGCAAGTGATGCTCTGTCTTCTTGGTGCTTGGTGGGGGGGTCAACAGTGGGAGGGGGCTTCTAATGTCCTGGCCCCACTGGTGGACCTCCTGAGGGCACCTGGTATTTCTGGCCACTGTGTGACACAGAGTGTTGGGCTGGATGGGCCTTTGGCCTGATCCAACATTGGATCTTATGTTCTTATGTTCTTATGACCCTGTTCCCCCAAGCACATGGGCCTTTTGTGACCCTTGGTTTTACCAGATGGCATTAATCTCAGGTACACGGTGTCACACCATGGTGTCACTTCTGGGTCATGCCAAGTGATGTGACATCATCATCATCATCATCATCATCATCACCAGTCCAACACTCTGTGTCACACAGTGGCCAGAAATACCAGTGCCATCAGGAGGTCCAGCAGTGGGGCCAGGACATTAGAAGCCCTCCCACTGTTGACCCCCCCCCCAAGCACCAAGAAGACAGAGCATCACTTGCCCCAGAGCCCCTAGCTATACCTTGTGGCTAATAGCCACTGATGGACCTCTGCTCCATATGCTTATCTAATTCCCTTTTGAAGCCGTCCATGCTTGTAGCTCCCACCACTTCCTGTGGCAGTGAATTCCATGTGTTAATCACTCTTTGGGTGAAGAAGTACTTCCTTTTATCCGTTCTAACCCGACCGCTCTGCAGTTTCATGGAGTGCCCACGAGTTCTTGTATTGTGAGAAAGGGAGAAAAGTACCTCTTTCTTTACCTGCTCTTTCCCATGCATAATCTTATAAACCTCGATCATGTCACCCCTCAGTCGTCTTTTCTCCAAGCTAAAGAGCCCTAAGCGCTTTAACCTTTCCTCATAGGGAAAGTGTTCCAACCCTTTTATCATTCGAGTTGCCCTTTTCTGCACTTTTTCCAAAGCTATAATATCCTTTTTAAGGTGTGGTGACCAGAACTGCACACAGTATTCCAAATGAGGTCTCACCATTGATTTATATAGGGGCATTATGATTTTGGCTGATCTGTTTTCAATACCCTTCCTAATAATCCCCAGCATAGCATTGGCCTTCTTTATTGCAGTCGCACACTGTCTTGACATTTTCAGTGAGTTATCTACTACAACTCCAAGATCTCTCTCTTGATCAGTCTCTGCCAGTTCAGACCCCATCAATGTGGATTTATATTTAGGATTTTTGGCTCCAATGTGCATCACCTTGCACTTGGCCACATTGAACCCCATTTGCCATGTTGACGCCCTTAGTTGACGCTCAAGGCAGCGTTCAATAATAATTTACAATAAAACAGATAAAATTCAACAATAAAATATAAAATGCAGATTAAATACAAGCAATGCAGTGCAGATGGTGATCGTTGTAGTTGGCCCCGTATGACTATCCCAAAGAAAGTGCCAGTAATAGATGTTCAGTAGCTTGTTCAGTGGCAGCTCCTAGTCGAAAGCCTGGTGGAAGAGCTCCGTCTTGCAGGCCGTGCAGAACTGTAAAAGGTCCCGCAGGGCCCTGATGTCTTCCGGGAGCTCGTTCCACCAGTGTGGAGCCGCCACTGAGAAGGCCCTAGATCTGGTGACGGCCAATCTGGCGTCTTTCAGACAAGGGAGAGTCAGGCGATTTTGCAACTCTGACCTCAGTGCTATCTGGGGAATATGTGGGGAGAGGAGGTCCCTCAGGTAGGCAGGCCCCTGACCATATAGGGATTTAAAGGTCAAAAACAGCACCTTGAAGCGAATCCGGTATGCTATACCAGGGATGCCAATTGTGAGCAGTGTTTTCTCTAAGCTGAGTTAGTGTGAGCTAGCTCATAGTTTTTTAGCTTCCAGCTCAGACTTTTTTGTCTGCGCCCAGGAAGGAGGGCTCCAGAGAGAACTGATGGCTTTAGAGCAAACTGATTTACGCAGTAGCCAAATTGCTCACTCACAACTTTCATGCCGGTCGCTCACAAAGTAGAATTTCTGCTCACAGGACTCCAGAGCTTAGAGGGAACATTGATTGAGAGCCCTTCTTCTTGCGGCCCCCATTTCTCCATCACCTCCCACCCAGATGAACAACGGTGGTCAGAGGCGTCAGGGGGAAGGGGGTCCCCCACCACCAATGGGCACGTGGCTCCCTTGGCTGCAGCCCATGTGAGTCAGCTTTCTCACCTCGCAGATGTCATTAAACCTCTGGCTGCTGCTCTTCACCGGATGCTCCATGAACGTGGCATAAGGCACTTCGGTGGAAAACGGGTTCCAGCGGGACAGAAAATCAGGTTCTTGCTGTTTACCCCAGTAGATTCTCAGACCTTCTCCTTCTCTCCTAGAAACACAGAGCACTTCATAAATTCAGCTGTCATTCTGGGAAATCCCCAGGCTCAACCTGGCGGTTAAAACAATAATGAAAACAACCGTGATGTTATATTACGAAAATATATTTAGACTACTATTCTGTAGTGAATTGTATTTCTTCATCAGGTTGGAAAAAATATATGCATACACACAACGGGAATTGCATACAATACCGTTTCACCTAACAGCTTTTTATAAGTGTGCTGCGTGAATACCATTAGTTTACACGTCAACCAGGGCTCTAGTCGGGGGGGAGCTCTCAGGTACGGAGCTCCGGAAGAGAACCTCTAGGGGGCGGGGCGGTCACGTGGTGAAGCCCCGCCCCTTCTTTACCCCGCCCCCTGCTTCGATCCTCATTCCGTTTGGGAATGAGGATGAAGCAGGAGGGTAAGTAGACGGGCCTTCTGACACACTTCCGGTGATGTCAGGGGGTGTGGCCTTCTGTCACTTCCGGTGATGTCAGGGGGCGTGGCATATGCAAATAAGTTATGCTAATGAGTTATGCTAATGAGCTCCGGCAGCTCTTTTTCTACAACAAGACCCCTGACGTCAACAATTCTAATCCATGAATTAACACAACATTCGTCCCACTTCAGTGAAACAGATTCTAGGACCCTGAATGATGGTGATGATGGTGATGGTGACGATGAAGAAGAAGAAGAAGAAGAGGAATACAAAAAAGAAGAGTTGGAAGAAGAAGAAGAACAAGCAGCAGAAGAGTTGGATTTATACCCTGCCCTTCACCTGGAGTCTCAGAGCAGCTTACAATCTCCTTTCCCTTCCTCTCCCCACAACAGACACCCTGTGATGTAGGTGGGGATGAGAGAGCTCTTCCGAGGACTTCTCATGAGAGAACAGCTCTAAGAGAACTTGTGACTGACCCAAGGTCACACCAGCAGCCGCAGGTGGAGGAGTGGGGAATCAAATCCGGTTCTCCCAGATCAGAGGCCGCGCTCCTAACCCCTACACCAGACTGGCTCTCTGATACCCTGTACAGTGCAACGCACCCGGATAGTTCTATATAAACAAAGCAGCCATTTCAGGAAGGGTGTGGCGAGCCTTCTGTCTGTCGTTCAAGGTGGAAGACAAAGTGAGTCTCGACCACCTTGGATATGAGTGGGAACATGTGCGCCTTCCCACCCCAGTTTCCTGTGTCCCTGTCCTGCCACCTCTGGACACCTCCGCTAAGTGGAGGGGCAGGGAGGTTAGCGTCACCCCGCCCTCTCACCGAGGACTTCATCAAGGCCCAGAAGGACCATTCAGGGCATTTCTCGTCATGGGGACTTTGCAACAGAAAAATGTGCATCCTCCCTCTGCTGACCTGACCCAGATGAGATAATAACAATTGATTGGCACAGTAATCTCACAGTAAAGTCTAAAGTTAAAGTTAATGAGATAATACGAACAAGAAAAACTGTGAAAAAGTAACGCATTACAATCATCTTAGCCCATGGCAGGTTCTACTATACATTACAGCCAATGTTCCCTCTAAGCTGTGGAGTCTTGTGAGCAAAAATTCTACTTTGTGAGCGACCGGCATAAAAGTTGTGAGTGAGCGATTTGGCTGCTGCATAAATCAGTTCTCTCTGGAGCCCTCCTTCCTGGGCGCAGACAAAAAAGTGTGAGCCGGAAGCTAAAAAACTATGAGCTAGCTCACACTAACTCAGCTTAGAGGGAACACTGATTACAGCTGTTATGATTACTGAAAATCTTCTTTGATAATTGTGAGACGTCACCAGAGGATATGAACTATTGAGAGACAGCTTTTGTCCCACGTTTTTGTTCAGAAGAGGATCTTCCTTCGAAACGGCAAGACATTCCGGAGATCACCGTAAATAGATATTTTTCTATGATTATGTATATTATTTTTTTTCACTTTTCTATGATTCTTTAAAGACATACATTAAGCGTCACTTTCTCACAGTTTTTCTTGTTCTCCGTACTGACCCAGATGAAACCAGCACCATCTTGAGAGGAGAAGGTTGTGAAGTTAGCGTGACTTGGACAGAATGAGCACACGGAGCTGCCTTCTACTGAATCAGGCCCTTGGTCCCTCAAGGTCAGTATTGTCTGCGCAGACCGGCAGCCGCTCTCCAGGGTCTCAGGCAGAGAAAGGTCTTCCACGTGACCTACTACCGGATCCTGTCAACTGGAGATGCTGAGGATTGAATCTGGGACCTTCTGCACTCCAAGCGGATGTTCCACCCCTGAGCCATGGCCCCTCGCCAAACACACACAAACAAACACGAAGCTGCCTTCTACTGAATCAGGCCCTTGGTCCCTCAAGGTCAGTATTGTCTGCGCAGACCGGCAGCAGCTCTCCAGGGTCTCAGTCAGAGAAAGGTCTTCCGCGTGACCTACTACCTGATCCTATCAACTGGAGATGCTGAGGATTGAATCTGGGACCTTCTGCACTCCAAGCGGATGTTCCACCCCTGAGCCATGGCCCCTCGCCAAACACACACAAACAAACACGAAGCTGCCTTCTACTGAATCAGACCCTTGGTCCATTCAGGTCAGTATTGTCAAAGCAGACCAGCAGCTGCTCTCCCGGGTCACAGGCAGACGAGATCTTTCACATTTTGAATTGGAGATGCCGGGGACTGAACCTGGGACCTTCTGCACGCAGAGCGGATGCTCTACCACTAAGCCATGGACCCTCCACTACCAAAAATATGATTTTAGGTTAAGGATATTTTGTAGAATCCTAGAATCATAGAGTTGGAAGGGACCTCCAGGGTCATCTAGTCCAACCCCCTACACAATGCAGGAAATTCACAAATACCTCCCCCCACACCCCCAGTGACCCCTGTTCCATGCCCAGAAGATGACAAAAAAGTATTTGAAGATGGTCATCATATCACCTCTCAGTTGTCTCCAGTGCTCCCTCTAAGCTGTGGAGTCCTGTGAGCAAAATTGTGAGCTAGTGGCATTAAAACTGTGAGAGAGTGACTTGGCTACTGCATATATTAGTCTGCTCTGGAGCCATCCTTCCTGAGCTAAGACCAAAATGTGTGAGTCGGAGGCTTAAAAGAACTGTGAGCTAGCTCACACTAAGGAGCTGCAGTGGCTCAAGTGGTTAAGACGCTGAACTGCAGGCTGTGGAAGGTCAGTAGTTCAGCAGTTCGAGACCCGAGTGTGCCGCATGACAGAGTGAGCTCCCGTCTCTAGTCCCAGCTCCTGCCAACCTAGCAGTTCGAAAGCAAGAAATTGCAAGTAGATAAATAGGTACCACTTTGGTGGGAAGGTAACAGCGTTCCGTGCGCCTTGGTGTTTAGTCATGCCGGCCCCATGACCACGGAAACATCTTCAGACAGCGCTGGCTCTTTGGCTTTGAAACGGAAATGAGCACTGCAACCTTAGAGTCGGACTCGACTGACTTTCGAGCAAGGGAACCTTTACCTTTTTAGCTCACACTAACTCAGCTTAGAGGGAACACTGGTCGTCTCCTCTCCAGGCTAAACCTACCCAGCTCCTTCAACCTTCCCTTATAGGACCTGGTCTCCAGACCTCTCACCATCTTCGTTGCACTCCTCTGGACACGTTCCCGAGAACATATAGGTTTATGAGAACACATAGGTTTTGAATTAATTATTGGTTAGAAATGCGGCGTGTTGTCTGTTAATATTTTTTTTTAATCTGTGTTAGCAGGAACATTTTTTAAAAAAGCATTTGTGGCTGCTTTCCTTTTTTTTTTTTTACAAAAGCAAAACACCTGAAGTCTTTAAAAACCGAGAGGGGTGATTAGATGTAAAAAAAATTATAACGCTCAGGTTTCCCATTTGAGAGGCAAAGACCATTGCCGAAAGCCTCCCAAACACATCCGCGGCGGGTGCCAAAACTCTGGGGTGGATTTGTATTGTCTGCGAAAGCTAAATAAATCCTCTTTCTCTTCCTCCCCTTCCCTCTGTGCAAAGACCACAAAGACACAGCCCCGTTGCGGGTTCCAAATTCTGAGAGGGAAACAGCCAGGGCTGAGCGGTCACCAATGTTCCCGGCGTTGGATTCTCCATTCAGAGAGTGCACCTGGCCCCGAAGGGAGAGGAACACGAAGGCCAGACTTCTCCTCCTGCTCTTTCGATGGCCCCCTCACGCATTCGAGCTTCGGCTCCCTCACATCTTTCACGTAACAATGGAGCGGCTGCATGTACCATGGCGGCACCTTTTTCTTTTGGAGGAAACAGCAGGGAACACTCAAGGACACGGGAAAGCTGGTGGGCAAGCCCTCTCCTCCTGGGGCGGAGGGAGTTAGGTTTCATGCACCCCTCAGAGACGTTCACCGCCTTCATCTCTTTACTTCCTCCTGCCAAAGGGACTGTGGCTTCCATGCACGCACCTCAAGATCAAAGATGGAAGGGAAGTAGGGGTGCCAACTCAAGGTTGGGAAATCCCTGGAGGTTTCGGGAGCAGAGCCCGTGTAGGGCAGGGTTTGGGGAGGGGAAGGGAGGGGAGGGGGCTCCACAGGGTACGATGCAACTCGAATGATAAAAGGGCAACTCGAATGATAAAAGGGTTGGAACACTTTCCCTATGAGGAAAGGTTAAAGCGCTTGGGGCTCCTTCGCTTGGAGAAACGACGACTGAGGGGTGACATGATTGAGGTTTATAAGATTATGCACGGGAAAGAGCAGGTAGAGAAAGAGGTACTTTTCTCCCTTTCTCACAATACAAGAACTCGTGGGCACTCCATGAAACTGCAGAGCGGTCGGGTTAGAATGGATAAAAGGAAGTCCTTCTTCACCCAAAGAGTGATTAACCCATGGAATTCACTGCCACAGGAAGTGGTGGCGGCTACAAGCATGGACGGCTTCAAAAGGGAATTAGATAAGCATGTGGAGCAGAGGTCCATCAGTGGCTATTAGCCACAAAGTATAGATAGGGACTCTGGGGCAAGGGATGCTCTGTATTCTTGGTGCTTGGGGGGGGGGGTCAACAGTGGGAGGGCTTCTAGTGTCCTGGCCCCACTGGTGGA